TTATTTATTTGAGAGAGCGAGAATGAGAGAGAGAGAGAGCACATGAGAGGGGGGAGGATTAGAGGGAGAAGCAGGCTCCTCGCTGAGCAGGGAGCCTGATGCGGGACTCGATCCCGGGACTCCGGGATCATGACCCAAGCCGAAGGCAGTCGCCCAACCAACTGAGCCACCCAGGTGCCCCATGGGCCTCATTTTATCTAGTAGATGTAGTCCTAGAAATAAAATGTATTTTAATCTATCTAAAATGAATTTGAATTTTTATTTGCATTATGATTTAGAAAGTGCTTTATCAATACTCTCTCTTTTCAGATGGCAGTGGTGCCTAATCCTTCAGATTTCAGTTTCCTTACCCCTATTCCCACCTCTTCATCATGTAATTAATAAAAACAAATACAAGCATTCTGGGAAATTCCTAAGGACTCTTGGAACAGATCACTTTTTAATGTCAAGATTTCTTTGGAAATGGGAGTAGTCCCGATCTAAATTACCTGTCATGTCCACATTTTGCCTGTGTGAGAGAGTGTCCACAGGCTTTTCCCTAAGGGAATCAGGTGTGGCGGCAGTTCTAGTGGTCAGGGCTGCTGGAGGCTGGGGCCAGAGTCAGCCTGGAGCTGGGCTGTGGAGTAGGCAAAGGGGGGCTTCCTCTGGGCTCTCCAGGGCCTCTAATTTGGGGGTCCAATGACTCTTCAGGCAGCACTCAAGCCTGTTCACCTGTAGAACCTCTTTTACTATTTCTCGCCTTGAAGATGCCATATTTTGAAAGCTTGTCTTTCCCATACAAAGTGCTTTGACAATTAAAAATTTTTAAATTTGCACATTTCATTTATTCCTACATTCATTGAATAAATACTTACTGAGCCACTGAGCTGGCCCCTGGCAGATGAGGAAGAAAAGTCTGGCCTCTGCCCATGAGGACAGTTTACACTCTGGCATCAAAATATGCAAGCAAATGGCCTCCCCTAAAGCTTGTGCAGTCTGTACTCTGTACTAGGGGATCTGACTTGGGTGAATGGGCACTGAAATCCAGCCTAACTTTGGCTCTGCTCACCAAACCCCGAGCCCTAACTCAGGGCTGCATTTCTCTATAAGACTACAAGACACCTTGGTCTAATTAATCCAAAAGATCCATGTGAGTGGCCTTGCACACAAACAATTTTAATACACTGAGTTACAAGTCTGCTCAGCAGAGTCAGGAAAGGCTTTAAGTGTACACTATTTGTGCCAAGCCTTGAAGGATCTGTAGGTGTGTAGGGTTTTTCTGGATAAATAACAAGGAGGAGGATGTTCCTAGCAAACTGCCTGGAAGTATGGGGAAACATTGCATCATCAGGAAAGCTGAGAAGTAAAAGTACTTGCGTGACAGTAGTCAAGGCTGGACCATAAGCCAGTTGGGGAGGCAAGACCACATCAGGAAGTGAGGTGGGTTCATGCAAAGACCTTTTCCATTTATTCCGTAGATGAAAGGTAGCTAGTGACTAGGTATGGGGAGTCAGATGGCAGAGGTACCATTAAACAAAGCAGGGAATATATGAAATGGGTGGGGGATACCCGATGAATTCAGTTTGTAATCAGCATGAGAAATTCAAAGTTACCAATCACAAAGAAAGATAAAATTCAATTAAAGTAATCCAGTGATTGTTTTGTTAGCCTAGATTTAGAAATACAAATAAAGGTAAAACTTCCATTAGGATTTTTAAAACATTCATAATTTCTCTAATATCCCCATTAATATCTTCTTAGACCAGCAAGAATTCCTGCTAAGACTAGTTCACAAATCTCTGTATAACCTGTGGTGGTACAGAATTCCTCACCAGGGATTCAGTAAATGTGAGTCAAGGGAAAGGAATTCTGGCCTTTACTATCCCCACTCCTCAACAGTCATATACCCTTCGGTGGCCAATGATGTTGGTTATCTGTTCATTTAAGTACCTATTACTTCCGTCTCTGTTAAGATCCACATGGACAGAGATCAATTTATACCTACCACAAGGTTTTGCACATACTAATGCATGAGCATTGAAAGGCTTTTTTAGAGGAATCCTATCTACTAACTAACTAATGTCTTATTCTTATTTCAATAGGTCACTTTGGTTAAAATGTAGCTGGATCTATAAATACAGTGTGGAATGTCCCCATAGTGGGAATTCCTGCATCCAGGGATAACCAGCAGAAGAAACTCTTCAAACTATGCATTATGAGCAGGTAACTTCTTCGCCTGTTGGCTGGCTCTGGGAAAAGACGAAGAAGACATCCTTGTCAAATGTAGGAATTTAAACTCCACAGAAGAAAACTCAGTAAGGAACAGTTCAGGATGAAAACTCTTGGAAATCCAAACAAAAATATAACTCTCCTGGGTGGATATAACACATTTCTTGCACACCTAAGGACAGTAAAATACCATCTCAGCTCTGAAGGCTAGGTATTAGGAACAATAGTAATAATGGCTGAATTTATTGAATGATGTGTTAGGCCTCATTTTAAGCACTCTGCCTGTGTTATCTGAGTTCATTCTCAAGACAGCTTTGTACCATAATTACTCGTGTTTCCTTCAATTGCCCCGATGAAGATACAGAGATATAAAAGTAATTTTGGTATGTCTTGTCTGGAGTGGTCCACAGTCATAACCCAAGTTTAAGAATTCCCTAAGAACGGGGCACCTGGGTGGCTCAGTCGGTTAAGCGTCTGCCTTCAGCTCAGGTCGTTGATCCCAGCGTCCTGGGATCAAGTCCCACATCGGGCTCCCTGCTCAGTGGGAGTCTGCTTCTCCCTCTCCTCCCGCTCATGCTCTCTCTCGCTATCTCTGTCTCTCTCTCTCTCAAATAAATAAATAAAAATCTTTTAAAAAAAATAATTCCCTAAGAACGATATTCATTGAGTACAAATTACGTGCCAGGACTCCGCACTAGGGCAAAGTCACATTCAATTGCAACAAAGTCCTTGTTCTCACAGGCTTATATCCTAGAGGGACAGATAGATAACGAGCAAACCAATAACTACACATAATGATTAAATTGGGGTAAGTCTTATGAAGGAAATAAGGTGTGACAGAGTGACAGATGCACTGGGAGTAGTAGCATGGAGGGACTTTCTGAGAACAAGAATTTCTTGGCATTTTTTTGGTAAAAACTTTTCATAAGAATAAAAAGCAGAGTTTTAAAAATGAAAAAAGTTATCATATCTTTAAAAAATAATTTTTTAAAGCTCCAGTCCGCTAGAAAAACTATCTCCCCGAGACACTCATTTCATAATTAATTCTTGCTTATTTCTTAATTTGGGTCGGCATTTCATTCATAATTAATCTCCAGACGCAGCCATTTTCAGAGAGCTTTCCCCCTTCGACAAAACCACCACTCCCCCCTCATTACTGCAGCTCTCCAACTGCTCACCCCGTCATCCTACTTGGCAAGAACCCTCAGAGATTAATACAGAAATTCCATACGATGGTGGCAGAGAGGACTTGCTCTGCATTTTCCAGGCTGGCATGTGAGCCTCCTGTTTGTTGGAACGTTGAAGAGCAACTGCCATAAAGTGAACTACGGTCTCATAAGCCCATCAGAGACTGGGGGATAGGAAATCTACAGACATTCCAAACACAGAGCTAACTACCAACCGCAAAGTGGAGGAAGTGCAGTAATGCGTTCAGGCTCTAAGTCTTTGCGGAGACACCCGTCTGCCTCCATCATTATTTATCATCTGGGTCTCTAGTTACTTCACTACCACAAGAGAGGAAAAAGAGCCATGGATTCAGCATGTACTGGCTTCAGAGGCAACCCTATATACTTTAATACACTTCTTGGCCCATAGTGTGAGCAGGCCTATCACAAAGCGAGACTAGGAAATCTGAGAAAATAAGACTCACATTTGCTTGCTAGAAAGGTTGAAAGGCCCTCAGTCATCCACGTCTAGAAAGACTAGGATGCCCTCCTGTTTGCCAGAAGTGCCCGCCCTCATCCTGCACAGCCACTTCCAGCTCTCTGGGGTGCTGCTTCTCATGCCTGACATGAGGCAAGGCCAGACTTCTTAGAAAATGCATTTTGTCAGTGAGAAGGACATCCATCCATTTTGTCTCCGGTCTGTTCAATGTCAAATTTCACATGTTAAACACTGTCTCATTAATAAGAAAAAGAAATACATTGGGGTTGACCAGCATGAGACAGACCAGCTCTTCAGTTCTGCAACTTGAAGATTTTATTTATTTATTTGACAGAGAGACACAGCAACAGAGGGAACACAAGCAGAGGGAGTGGGAGAGGGAGAAGCAGGCAGGCTTCCCACCGAGGAGGCAGCCCAATCCCAGGACCCTGGGATCATGACCTGAGCTGAAGGCAGATGCCTAACCACTGCAACTTAAACCTATGAGGAAATGGCAGGAAAAACGGCTTCAGTGTATCTATTTTGACGGTAGGAGAAATGGCCTCAGTCATCTAAATCTCTTCAGACTAGAGCCGGTCTTGTAGATCTTTTTTACACTTAAGTAACAGCCACATTTCATGAAGGGTGATGACAATGTTATCAGTGAAGAAATCACTTCTGATAAACCTATATATGGTCATGCATTGAAGTTCTTTTTATGTTTTTCCTCCAAGTGTACTTTTTTTGTGGAGCACATTCTCACAGCTACAGCAGTAGGGTGGCTTACTGAAGATTCAGGATCCAAGGTTCAAAAAGCACATAGCTCTTATTCCTGAGGACTCTCATATGCATTTTCTCACCCACTGGTCACACACTTTTTGAGCACAGCATTGTTATTCCTCTTCTTCAGAGATGGATCTGGCCTCTGGCTGAGGAACAGATAGCCAGTGTATCATAGCACTTAGATCTGCTCTCATGCCTCTCTACTAGATAAGCTGACTAACCGTGAAGCAGAATAGCCAAATAGCTCTTTCTCCCTGTCGGATCTAAAAAGGTAGGGCTTATTATAGTTAAGATATGAAAATAGTCTGCTTGCCTGATGTGCTTCATATCATCTTTATTTATGCTTCTTTACAATCTGGGTAAAATCAGGAATCTAGAACCAACCTTAGGTCATAATGAAGAAAGGAAGAAACAACGCCTGTTGCCCAACTGTGAGTATGCAATGATACTGAAGAACACCATCATTTATAATGAGTCAGCACATGAACTTCCTGGAGCTCTCAGGGGAAGTAGAAAAGTGAATCCAGCCTGACCCCCAAGATTTTTGACAACCTGTCAGCGTCACTTCTTGCTCAACCAAACCTAATACACCACCCTCTTTCCCTGGCCTTTTGCACATCAAGTGATCTTCTGGGTTCCAGAGTTAGCTGGTGGCAGAGGCAGGCCTAGAACCCAAGTCTTCTAACTCCCAACCCTGTGCTCTTTCCAATACGCTACTGCCTGATATACAGCAAGCCACCACTAACTGGATACTTACTCAGAGCCAGGGTTAGCAGTGAATGCTTTACATGTATTATTTCATTTAATCCTCAGAATTACCAACCTATAAGGTAAATAAGGAAACAGAGGCTCAGGAAGATGAAGCAACTTCTCCAAGGCCCACTGCAGGTAAGCAACGGAACTGGGATAAGGCCCAGTCTCTCCAAAGCTAGGTTTCATGTCCACATCAAATCACCTTTCTCTGCTCACCAGGTTTTGTAAAAATTGCAGTGATTAAATGTGAACAACTGATATATCTGCTTACTGTTACAGTTCATTCCATCTACTTTACAAAAGCAAATCTTTAGAAAAACAGATTTCAAGAGAAAGGTGACACAATAAATCTGCCCCTTCCTGCCTCTTTGATGCTGATTCTTGAGTTCCTCAGAATGGTGAAAACCCTTAGTCAGAGAGTGTGAATCTGCTTATGTGTTTAAGGTAGGGGGGATGATTCAGGAAAAAATAAAACATTTCTTTAAATAATGAGATTACAGTCTCCCAAATTTGGAACATCAGCTATGCCAGGTAATACTTAGGTGTTTGGATGTAGTGCCTCTGTTCCTAGACTGAGATGCACCCGAAGTGACTGGGGCGGCTCAGGCCAGTCCTGAACTTGCACCATTCATTGCAGTCTGTGTCTGTATTTTCAGTGCCCCACTTTTCATGTGTTGGGACTTAGAACATAATTCTTAAGAAACAGTGTTTTACGATCACTAAGAAGAAAGTCTTGTTATAACAGGTTTCTCAAAGTTGCTTGTACTTAAAGAAACTCAGGATGACATCTTGGGGTACCTAATACCACTTGGGAAGATCATTTAACCTCTCCAGATTGTAGTTTTATTATTAGCAACATGAGAGGCAATCTGAAGTCTTCTTTTTACCTCAAAAATGCAGTATTATTACTGCTGATTAGATAAAGGAGCTCTAAAACCAACTCTTCTTCATTCCTCTTTTATTCATTTGCTCTGTCCTTTTCTTTTGTTTCAGTTCTAGTTAATCTGCATTCATCCCCAAACACTTTCATTCACAACTACTACCTTACAGGCTCTTACATTTATCAATAGTAGAAAAGCCATTTTTTGTCACCCCAGGGAAATGCATCATCTTATTATGAATGCACAGAGCATTCACATGGAATTAAGGCATGTACAATCTAAGCTAAGGAGGCATAGAGTATATTAACATGATTTAATATTCTTTAGAAACCATAATGGCAGTTTCTAGTGAAGGGATTCTAAATAGTTATTAATATAAACTAAAAATGAGAGCTTCAGGGAACATCTAAATCTTTGAGCCATAATCTTAAGAAGCCACTGTGTGATGACCAACATTGTTTTACTAAAACTAACAAATGCTTTGGTTATGGTGCATTTTGTATATTAAAAGAAGATATTTGTAAATGATATATCCTATAAGAGCTTAATAGCCAAAATATAGAGAGAACTTATACAACTCAACACCAAAACCCACAAATAACCCAATTAAAAATGAGCCGAGGACCTGAATAGATATTTTTCCAAAGAAGACATACAGATGGCCAACAGACACATGAAAAGATGCTCAACATCACCCATCACCAAGGAAATGCAAGGCAAAACCACAATGAGATATCACATTACACCTGTCAGGACGGCTAAAATAAAAAAGACAAGAAATAAAAAGTGTTGGCAAGGATGAAGAGAAAAAGGAACCCTTGTGCACTGTTGGTGGGAATGGAAACTGGTGCAGCCACTGTGGAAGACAGTGTGGAGGTTCCTTAAAGAATTAAAAATAGAAATACCACATGATCCAGTAATTTCACTACTGGGTATTTACCCAAAGAAAATGAAAACACTAATTCAAAAGGATATACGCACACACACGCGGACAGACACACGTCCGTGCGCAACTACTACACAGCCATAAAAAGGATGAGATCTTACCGTTTGCAACCAACATGGATGGAGCTAGAGTATGTTCTGTTAAGTGAAATAAGTCAGACAGAGAAAGACAAATACCCTATGATTTCATTCATATGTGGAATCTAAAAAACAAAACAAATGAATAAACAAAAAGCAGAAAGAGACTCATAAATACAGAGAACAAACTTATGATGCCAGAGGGGAGGGGGAATGGAGGATGGTCAAAATGAGTGAAGGGGAGTGGGAGACACAGGCTTCCAGTTGTTGAAAGAATAAGTTATAGGAATAGAAGGCACAGCACAGGGAATACAGTGAACGATACTGTAATTGCAATGTATCGGGACAGATGGGAGCTACACCTGTGAGCATAGCATAACATACAGACTTGTCAAATCATTATGTTGTACACCCGAAACTAATTTAACAGCATGTGTCAATTTTACTTCAATAAAAAAGAAGAAAAAGATATGTATATATGCATTTTAAGTATGACACAAAGATTTTTTTAGAAAGGTAATTAGAAAGGTAATCAAAGATAAATTAATTCTAAAAGCTCTTTTCCACTTTTAACATGAAAACAGTAATTAATCAATACATACATAAGTTAAAGGTCTCCCCTAGAATACTGCAGTGACAGTAAAGAAACGTGGTTTTTTATTTTACCTGGGAAGAGCAGTGATTTTCCCCCATTTCTCCACACAGAATCTTCTTGGGCCATTACTCCCTCGGAGAGAAGCAAATCCTTCATAGGGAATGCTGGATGTGCCTGTGACAAACTATTAACACAAGAAAACAGAAGGATATGGTGAAACCAAGAGACTAGCTGCTAAGAAATACATGGTATCATTCACATGCACAGCTCTTTGGGAAGAGCAACAGGCTGCTCCCTGCTGGGAAAGCCTGAAGGTTAAACTCTAGGTGTGGAATAACCTAACACAGGAATTCGGACAAAGAGCTGGGGAATGCTAAGGAAGGACAGTGCATTAAAAAGGGAAATGGGATGCAGAGGGTTTGTAGCATCTTGTACAGCTAACCAGCTGAGAAGACTAAACTGGGTATATTTCCTATTATAGATTAATAAAGCGTCAATTAACCTAAGTCTACTTAGCATCAGTCCCCGATCAACTTGAGGTGAATAAATCTGAGGACCAGATCCTTGATCCAAAGGAGCTAAGACCCAGTCTACTTGTAAGGCTGAGCCTAAGTATACAGAAGGCTTGCTCATGTTTGATATTTCTTTGACTGCAATAAACCAGCAATTGCCACATAACTATAAACACTGCAAGAAAATAATGAGCTAGCTTTCCCTGTGTCCTTGAACTTCATTGTTATCTCAAGTTTGTGGAAAGTTAGATGGAAGAAAAGAAAGGATTCTTTATCAAAGACCTGGTTACTTCCTAAGGGATTGAAAGCCCTCTTTCTATTGCTAGGGATGTTGCCCTGGGATCTCTTCTTGAAGGGACCAACTGCCCTGAAGCCAGGTGTTTTTCCTGGGATTCTTGGACTGGAGTTGGTATGTCCTCAAAATTCTAATGAAATACTTGGACTTGGTTAGGGATGTTCTGCATAGTGATGGAGCCACAGAACCATGCAATCAGAAGAGTCTGAAATAATGTATCCACCATTTGCAGATAAGCATGGAGTATAATTACTGAGTACTTAGCAATTATAAAAAATATGCAATTCCAACAATAATTATATTAATGCATTAAAAAGATTAACTAGTGGCATCTTACCTGTAACAACCTTAGTCGTTGTTCATTGTTGAATCTTTCCACGGCAGCCCAGAACCACCGAATTACAATATGATTGTCATGATATCCTATCAAACCAATCAGGAAAGCCCATATTACTTTAACTTTTCTGTGTTAGGATGACATGACACCATGACATGTCAACAAAAGACCTCCAGACATAAATCGTCATCTTGGATTCTTTAAAGGTTGTTTATAATTTAAGACTAAGAAATAACACTGTAGATATGATCACATGAGTGTCAAAAGTCAAAAACAACACTAAATGAAGCTAGGAGGTCTCTGTTTCCATTTAGTGGTCAGTAAATGAAACAAGTGGAGAGAAGACCAACAAAGTTGTTATTTTAACCACATCATTTCTAAAAAAGATAACTGCTATTACTGGAAATGCTTAACTCTTTTGGTCATTCATTTAAGAAATAATTTTCAAGTATCACTATGCCAAACACTGTAGTAAGCTTGGAGGTAACAGAGGCAAAGAAAACAGACCCTTGCAGGGCTTCTGGTAAAGGAGAGACACACTAATCAAATAATTATGCAAATAAATACATAATTGCAAACTATTTTAAAATTACATATAATGTTCATATTTTTAAATCAAATCCTTTATTAATAAAAAAGTAATTTTATTAATTTCTTCAACTAATAAATCCCAAATAATCATTAACCTAAATGTTATTTTTATTCCATACTTTAGTAGAATTTAATAAAATATCAAAAGTATCATCCCCGGGGTGGATTAAGGCAGTATTGTAGATTCCAAAATCTCTCAGTGAAGAAAATTTAAGTTCAGAGAGAGGGCTGATGAGGATTAAGATACAATTAGTGATCTAACCAATTAACTGACATGCACAATGTGATAAAGCCACTCTAATTCTAAGTCAGCAGAAATAAGTCCAAAGCAAAGGTGGGTAAAACTATCTTAATTTGAATTTTTGCTCACATGTTTCCATGGTTGCAGAATTTGGCGGAAATTTTGCCTTACTGTTTACCATTTGATCAGTGATGCTGAGTGACCTTTGGACAAGAAAGGGATCCAAGTGAAGGGTGAACATACTTCTATTGGACATGGTGATGTATAGGCTCCACGTCCATCTGGCAGAGCCTAGCTATTTGGTGCTGAGCAGATAGTTTTCTCATCTATAAAATAAGTACATTGGCTCTTTATAGCTTTTCTGACCTTATGAATGGGCCCCTTTCTGCTTCTCCTTTGCTGTTTGTGCCAAACCTTTTGGAGGAGGAAGACAGAAAATGTCTCTTCATATTCTCTATAAACAGCTGCTTTATGAACATATGGCAATTGGCAGCAAAGCTGCCTCTTCATTCAGTGCCAACTAGTTGGGTTAGCAAACAGCTGGGTACCTCACCCATTCCCCTGCCCACCCCCCACCCCCCCACTGGAGCACTGTCTTCCCAACGACTTCATTTGGCAAGATTTACAATAACCATGGAAACAGGGACTTGATTAGACATATACAGTGAATAAAAGCTTACAGTATATAAATACAAAAATGGCTGATTTGATTAACAGCATTGCTATTAGACTCTCCTGGCACGGAAGAGCTAATGACATTTATGGTAAGATGCAAGTTTTGTAGCATGCTGGAGAAACTGTGTTCTAGTTCATAAAAAGAGTTGGTTAACGAAGTTATAATGACCAAGGCTGTATATGGATTATACATGGCGCCAGCTGGAAAAGACACATTGCAGCAATTGGTTACAGAAATAGCAGCAAGAGAGACTGCAATTTAATACTGCCTTTCAGAGAAAATGGGGGAGCAAGGCCAGCCCACGGCAAGCGATGAGTTGGAAGAGCCAAGGCAAGAACAAAAGCAATTTAGCAAATGTTAAGGTATTTTTATTCTACTCTACACTTTAAAAAGTGTTTTAAAATCTGTTTCAGGGGCACCTGGGTGGCTCAGTCATTAAGCGTCTGCCTTCGGCTCAGGTCATGATCCCAGGGTCCTGGGATCGAGCCCCGCATTGGGCTGCCTGCTCGGTGGGAAGCCCGCTTCTCCCTCTCCCACTCCCTCTGCTTGTGTTCCCTCTCTCGCTGTGTCTCTCTCTGTCAAATAAATAAATAAAATCTTTAAAATAAAAAAAAATCTCTGTTTCAAAGTACAGATAACTGGAGATATGTTTAGCTTTCAGTTTATTCTGCTGAGTGATTAATTCAGTGACTTAAAGTTTGTATTTTTCACTCCCAAGTTCAGAACTACTGCTAACCTTTTACGTTCTGAGTTGAGTTAAAAACCAAAAACCAAAATCAAAACAAAACACAACCGTTCTTTGTCATGACTTTCTGAAAACTATCACCCTGCAATAAGTTTCAGAAAATGTATTCTTTCTTTGCTTAAAATTATGGAATAAAAACTTTAACTCTGGGTCATCATCAGGTCCCTTTCAAAGTGTACTGACTCAGCAATCAAATTCCAATGGCTTCAAGGCAATTACTAATTGAAAATTTATAGTGATCTACAGAAATGCCGCATGTTAAGCTTCCCATGTGGTGAATTGTCATATAATCCAGGTTTTAAGTAATCTTACAGTAGTTTCCTTTTCAGTTGAACTTAATGCTTGAATTTAGAAGGGCCTTTTCAATAAACATCTTGAATTTTGAGAACCATGTCTTATTCCATTTATGTGTCTCAACAGTGAATTATAGCTGGAAATAGTTCAGTGAAATGTAGAAAACTGTGTTTTCTCATTAGGAGGCTCAGAGGGTGTGTGACTTCAAGGTTTAGAATGAAGGTAGAAGAGGTGGAGTTTGACTAGCTGGATGTGAGCTCCTTAGGGCTTCACTCACAACACCATAAAACAATTAATTAGTGTTCTTATGGTCACATTTCTTCACCAACAATTAGGAATTATGACATTCTTAGATGAGGTGTAAACAGTCCTTCTTCCACTTGATGGATGAGGTAACTAGGAACAGAAGAGAATGTACGTTGCCCACGGTCTCAGAGGAGACTGCAGTAGACCTATGATTAGAATCCACAGTGCTTTGCCTGTCCTGGATTCAGAGACTGGCAATGCTAACCACTGACTTCCCTTAATACGAAACTTAAAGTCCAGCCATCTCTAAATCACATCTCACCTCCTCTATATTCTGTGTTGTTTCTCCAGTCACTCAGGTCGATTTCAGCTGTGCCTGCGATGACCAGTTCCAGTTCTCTTGCATCAAAAACAGACACCAGCCTGGCATCCACCACCTGTGGAATAAAAAGAATGCAGGGCATGGCTTATGAATCAGGAGAAATCGCAGCTATAAGTAAGCCTCAGATGGTTGAGCATCTGCCTTCGGCTACAGTCGTGATCCCGGGGTCCTGGGATCGAGCCCCACATCAGGCTCCTGGCTCGGCATGGAGCCCGCTTCTCCCTCTCCCTCTGCCTCTCCCCCTGCTCATGCTCTCTCTCTCTCTGTATCTCTGTGTCTGAAATTAATAAATAAAAAATCTTAAAAAAAAAAAAGAGGACACAAGGAGGTTTAGGAATATTCTGGAAGCACTCTGTGTAGGCACTTGAAAACTGTAAAGCTCTTGACAAAGATAAGGTATTTTTAGTACAAGACTGAAATCTTTTCCTCAACAGAATTTTCATTTTAAAACTGACCACTGATTAATCCAGTTTGTTTTTCTCCTTGAAAAAAAATCTAGTGCTCCTCCAGAGGAAGTCACATGGAGTATTTGTAAGAACTTACTTGAACCCTCAGATACAATCATTTCACATATCAAGCATGAGATGTGATTACCCGTATCTAAGCATGAGTAAGATGTATGACTTAAATGTTATTAGTGGTCCTTAAGTCGTGAAATGCTAATTGAATTCAGATCATTTTATTTCAGTGATCTCTTATAACAGAGCATTAAGCCTTTTTTGTGTTCTTGAAACATATAAAAAATATATTGGAGTTTTTAAATTGAAAGAGCAATAGCAAATCCAACAAAAGAAAAAGGGAAATATTGCATACAGAGTACAGTCACATGGACTGTGGTATCACAGAGATCAGTCTGCAAAACCCTACTCCCGCTGTCTTTACCTCATAGAAGCCGCGCACTAAGCTCTCTGTTTGCTGTACGACGCCCCTTTCAATCCTCCATTTCACCATCCTCTCGATGTACTCCTTCTTGTTCTTCTCTGTGACCGGGATATTGGCACCCCCTGGTTTTAATTCTCGTTCGGTAATCTGAGATTTAAAAAAAAAAAAGACAACATAAAGCAACATTCTTGATGAGATAAGAACACTGCTCCCAGTGAGCCGAAATCGGCCATCTAGGTTGTCGCTGCCTTGGCCCTGGGCACATCCCATAAGCAGCAGGGGAAGGCACCCCATGGAGCCACAGAGAGCCCAGGCACACACCGATGCTTCCTGTGGAAGCCGAAAAACTAGGCATGAGCTGATGTCTGAAAGCCTCAGTGGTTAAAAATCTATATATCGCAAGTGCTGAAGGTTAAGTTTTAAATCCTGACTAAAAATCTTCTAAATGAAAATAAACTGGCTCCAGATTCTGGCCCACTGCTATTTGAATGTTTGGCAAAAACATATTTTCACAAATTCTGTTAGGGTTCAGAATCAACTATATATAGAAAGCCAATATTTAAGTAAAGATTTACTTTAATGAAGCAGAATTACATTCAATTGAATGTTAAATTGAGAACTTCTCTTCCAAAACACAAAATTTAGAAGACCGGCCAAATATTAATGTCTAAATAAGAATATTTCTTATGAACCAGTATATAATTTCTGAAAGAAATCTTCTAACCAACTCTTCCAGCAACTTTGGAAAAAGCCAATATGATTTCAGACCTTCACCAAAACATTACTTACCTTCCGTCAGCTTCAAAACAATCAATTTCCATTCTTAAATATGAATGACAGTTAAGTGCAAATGTCAATTAAATAATTTAATATTCAACTCTGGGGTAGCATGGACTTTTAAAAGTTATATTTTATACAAGGCAATTCTAATATCTTATGTGGATAATTTAGTTGGAAATAAAAAGAAGACTGCTTATGACACAGAAATAGTTATATAGCTTGTAACACACAGTTACCACAATCTGTAAATTAGAACACTTTAGTCTGCAGTTGGCATTAAAATAATCTTTGTAACCAAAATTATTGTAACTGTATGTAAACCTGGGTTGAAACCACCCAACAAGCCACCAATAAGTAAGTGTATGATGTTAGCCTTCATTTTAAAACTGACCACTGATTAATCCAGTTTGTTTTTCTCCTTGAAAAAAGATCTAGTGCTCCTCCAGAGGAAGTCATATGGAGTATTAATTCTTCACCAACCAATAGTCTTTAATTACCACATATAGTCACCAGTGAGTTACATACACAGACCTGCCCAAAAACTTCTTCGTTCACAGTGAATGTAAGGTCCAAGATGTCATGGATGTCATTGTCTTTCATCCACTGCAGGCTCTGGTGGAACTCTTCGTCAAGGTATTCTAGATCACTCAGGTCACACAGACTAAGATGACAAACAGATAGAAACAAATGTGTAGGTATGACTCTTAGCAAAACTCCAAAGACACAAGGAAAGATACTAAAAATTAAATACAAGATCATCTAAGTAGACAGTGATTCCTGGAATGTTCTTAGTCAAATTCAGTAACCAAACTAGTGAAATAATTCAGAAATCTGGTATAAGATTTAAAAATCTGGAAACATAAAATGCCTTAAATCAACCAGCCTATACTTTCTTTTACAGACACAGAACTGGGGTGCAAAGAGTGGCTGCCACTTGCCCAGTCATCCATGATTAATGCCAGAGCAGGAACTGGAACTCAGGCGACAACTTGAGTCCCCTATTATTTTGGCTATGTTATACTACCTTAAAACATCATTCTCCTAATCTGAAATTTTTTTATGTTTCTATACTATATTTTAACTTTTTTATTTTTTCTCAAAGACTAGGTTCTGTGATCCACATTCACATGCATCTCCTTTTTTCTTTTTGGTCCTTATTCTTTCCATGTTTCTAAAAACAGAAAGCCACAGAATCTCTCTACAATTATAATGGTTTTCAATAGTTCTATTTTTTTTTTTTTTTTTATCATGGAGAGAGGTCTACATAAGGTGGAGTTACTATTGTATGGCCCTATCTTAAGGTGGTAACAATTGATTTGCTCCCATCAGCCCAATTTCAAAGGTCATTTTGTTTGGTTCTGTCTAAACATTTATTAGTATGTGCCAGACATCTTAACAGCTACTTGATAAACAGTTACTGCCCTCAAGGAGCTAGTGGTCTAGTTGGGGAGACAGGCACAAAAATAGGCAAACTAATACAAGGTGATAGTGATAGCCTAGGATGGGTAACACTTATAATTTGTGTATTTTTTATATGTATGTTACATTCCAATTAAAAAAAAACATATAAGGTAGATACAGGGAGCTCTCACAGCAAGAATGCAGGATGTTAACTTCAACTTGGCGATTCAGGGAAACCTTTCTGGAGTAGATAATACCTACATCAAAATTTGTAGGCTCTTTAAAATCTAGAGAGGTAAAGGGAAATGAATGAAGAGGAGGAGAAGGGGAAACAGAAAGAAGGGAGAAGGAGAGACAAACACGAACAAAGCACAAGGGCATGGAGTATGAGAATACTCAAGCACACTGGTAGGATTCAAGAGTTAACTGTAAGGCATAACGTCCAGAAAAGGCTAGGAAGGTCGCTGGGACCAGGCTTTGAATATCATTTTAAGGATCTTGGTGCTTCAGAACTACCGAAAGATTTTAGGACAGGAAATGACATGATCAGATGTGAGATGTGATTTTGAATTGTTCTTTCTGGAAGTCAGAGTATAGAGGATTACTTAAAATGGGGGGAGGGGTGGTTATCATTAGATGGTGGAGACAATTAGTAGACCACTACAGTAATCTGGCCAAAATAAAGTAAGAGTTTCATATTAAGGGCACAGCTATTAAGGGTGGACAGGAGAAGATGCACTTGAGACTTATTTAGGAGGTAAACGTGGGCATTAGTAAATGGTTTTATTGGGGGCATAAAGAAGGATATCAAAATGGGGTGGCAAATGAACTCATGTTGCAAGCCAACTCTGATTAATTGCCAGTCTCGAGGGCTGTAAGTTGAAAAACTCCCTGAGGCCACAACGAGTTCAGTGGGAAAAAGGACCATAAATGATTTGTGAACTACACCATGGCAATGGAGTGGGAGGTAAGTAAGAGTAGACTAGGTGCTGTGTATTTGCCATCTCTGTTTGAGGGTGACTCCCGATTTCTGACCAGTGACCTGGGATACCGGCACCATGAACTGTGCCAGTATCTCCCATGACTAGGCACACGGGAGAAGTTGCATTTCCAGGGACACCAGTGGAGGAAAGACTCAAAGTAAATGCATAGGGCTGGGGACTGGGGCAGTCAACAGTATCCGAAGCAGCAGAATGGTCCGGTAAGATAAGGACTAAAAGATATTCTTTAAAAGCTTCTATAGGTTACTGGTGGGAAGGAAGCCAGGCTAAAGTGTGCTGAGGGCACGTCGGCACAGACTACTCTTTCAGGAAGCTTATAGGAGAAGATGAGAGAAGGCAGTGAAATGGGAAGATGCAAAATGGGACCAGCGGAACCAGAGAGGCAGATGGACGGTGCCCAGTTGCCCAAGGTTTCATCTGCTCAGACACCAAAAGGGAGGAAAGCAAGTCTTCTTACTGAACCTCTTAAGAACCCATTAGAAATACTTTGTTTTCATTTGAAGTCTAGGCTTCCATTTTACAGAAAGCAGGTACCTGGCCTTGGTCAGGGAATAAGCTGGACTGAAATCAGCCATCATTCTGTGCTTCCTCACTGCAAGTCTGAGCTACTACTCCCCTATCAGACAGTTGCCTTCTCCTGTTCAGCCCTGTAAATGACTACTGATTATAGGACAGAAACTGTTTGCTCTACATTTTATAATAATTGCAATCTTTCATTGTGCTAACAATGAAGAAAAAGTTCTGTGAATGCTAAATTTTTATCTGCCATACTAAATTACTGTCTTGCATATAGGGAGGTCTCAAGAAAAATATGGGACGGTGCACCTCTAACAAATAAACAAAAAATAAGACAAAAAACAAAACAAAGGAGAATGAAAACTTGAACCAAGAGTAAGCAGTTGAAGTCTACATAAAGCAAAATATAAAATGCTTCTCATAAAGGATAGGGGGCTGTGAGTCACCAAGACTAACCCACAACTATTCTATTAATAATCAGCATTAATACCACAGGAATTCCAGTACCGTATTTGAAGTACAATTGTTTTGAAGAAACATGTGTTGCAACAAATGAGAATAAATTTTCCAGAATAAAGCAAAACTAAGACTTTAGGGGCAAGACAGAAGTAAAGGATCAGGAAAAACATAGTAACCATATTTGAAATTGTATTAGTTTCAGAAACCTAAGTAGATAAATGACATTGACAAAAGGTTCTTTTTGATAAAAGAAATATTACATTTTTACATGCTAATTACACAAGCAATAAAAATAGTCTTACATTCTGAGAAGAGCTTTATAAAAGGGCCGTGTGAAGAAGGCATCCAACAAATACTGGTGTATGAGTGCAAGACCAAGAATCCTACCACTGAACCGGAACCTGTGAAGGAAAAGCACAAGACAGCTTACACGTCAGGGAGCAGTTTCTAAATGGTTCTATTTGCTTTCTAGAATGCAGTCTAGCTCTAATCATCTAAGTTTGTCCAAGACTGATTCCTTACTAGGTCCATGAGAGTTTGAGTGCATTGTAACCTGTGTCTTCATTAGGCCAATATTCATATCTACTTAAAAAATCTGTTTCACTCTGATATTTAGAGAGATACTGCTCCACCTTCCCCTCATGTTAATAATATCCACCATAGAGCACCCCACACGGACAACATGAATTCCCCGTGAGCATGCCTGTAAAATTTCCCCAAGTCACTTTTAAAAGATGACAGAATGAAACCGGTGGTGGTAGGGAAAATGTTGTCCCCTTCTAGTTTGTTTGCATGAATATTAGCAGGATTTCTCTAATACAAACCCAGTAGCAATCCCCTTTTGAGGAAAAGCCCAGTCTCAGAGTGAGACAGTTCCTATCTCTATTCTCTCTCAAACCCCACCACTGATGATAGTCACTATCCAAGAATTATGCATTGTGAACATGGGGGAGTTTCCTCATGGGACATTTGGTTCTCTAAAATTTGAAGGCTCAATTCTATTCTGAATCACTTTGGAAACTTTACCAAATATATCAGTCATGACTGGATTTGCTGAGAGGTACACTTATTTTCCCTTTCAAAAATACTGCAGTTCCTACCTCTGTGAAAGTCTGATGCCTTCCAAAAGTGTAAATCCATGCTGGGATTCATACAGTCCATTTGTAATTTTAGTATTAGGCAGCCATTTTAAGATTCATGTCCAGCAGCTTTTTCTTTTTTTCTACCTAACTTAGCACAACTGCAATAGGTACAGTTAAGAGGAGTCCGAATTGTGGCTACATGGACTTAATTTGAAGAATAAGTCCTAAAAGTTAATGCCTTCCACCCACCAATATTAACCTTCATGACCCAAAGAAACTTTTTCCATGAGTCCTGCTTATGTTTTTTTTGTTACTATTAGTGAAAATAAGCAGAAAAACAGCAAACAGGGGTTATAAAGATATTTAACATGTATAAGTGCAGGGATTTAAAAAAATGTAAGGATATTTGGAAAGAGTGCAATTTTGGATTTTCAGAATAAATAATTCCCAGAAGGGAATCCTATACCAGTTTTCCTTGATAATTTTGTGTGAAAAATTAGGAAAGGGGCAATCCCTGGTGACAAACTTCAGTGGCTAATAGGGTCAGCACCACTGCTGTGGTTCCATGCCCATGTCCTTCTGCCGGAGTTCTAATCTACCATCAATTCCTCCAGGGCACACCACTCTCCACTCCCTCCTACTAGAATACCATCATCACCCTCAGCCAGTGTCCCAGCTGCTCTGCCCCACGCCCCACCCCCCACCCCACCTCAGAGTTCAGGGGTGCCCAAAGGTGTAGAGAGGGATCTAGGGATTTTGCCAGGAACCTAACATCATCTGGAACTTTCTTTCAATGGGGAAAATATTTTGAATATTTTTGAATATTTTCAGTTCACTTGAAATTGGTCTTTTGGAATATGATCTATTCCTAGCTTGGAGAATGTCCATATGTTTAAACTGACAACAAAAGTAAGAGTCAAATGAAACTGAAAATATGATTTTCTCCAAGGAAAAAAGTGTTAAAAGAAATCTGGGTTCCTATAAAAACTAGTATCACAGAAAGTCAACTGAAGAAAAGTGTTGGGGAAAAAATACTTACCACTCATGGTGATTGTCTACAAAAGCAGACATGGGGCTTATTTGTACTGTGTATGTATCATTGGCTGAATATTCAAATAAGCCATAATATGGGTTAAAGAGTTCTCTGGATACGAGGAAGAAAAACTCTCTGGAAGGTCCACTGTAATCCAGCCTTTAAAAAAAATCACAAAAAGAATAAACAGTTATTATTTTTTTCTATATATTGGGCACATTTTCTACAGAGTTCGACTTTTTTTTTTAAGATTTATTTATTTATTTGAGAGAGAGAGTGTGTGAGCAAGGGGAGGGGCAGAAGGAGAGGGAGAGAGAGAATCTCAAGCAGACTTCCCACTGAGAGCCCGCAGTAGGGCTTGATCTCACAACCCTGAGATCATGACCTGAGCTGAAATCAAAGAGTTGGACACTTAGCCAACTGAGCCACCCAGCAGCCCCCCGAGCCCAACTTTCTATAGAACACTCATTACAAGTCTAATTGCCCACA